ACCTAAACAATTACTAGCCATTTTTCTGGAGGTCACAAGATTTGCAACTTCCCCCAATTACTCCTGCAGATAACATTACTATTGTAGAACTTAAGATTGGTCTTTTGAGATGTCTTTTCTGACTTTTATATTTCTGACTACCATGGCTCCACTTGGACCTGCCAACCAGTCCTGTGGCCCCACCAAGAAGCAAACTCTGCACACCTCTATGATTGCACCCCCAACCAATCAGCAGTACCCATTCCCTTGCCTGCCAAACCATCCTTGAAAAACCCTAGCCTCCAAATTTTCAGGGATGCCTATTTGAGTAAGACTCCAGTATCCTGTTCAGCTGGCTCTGTGTGAATTAAACTCTTTCTCTGTTGCAATGCTTCTGTCTTGATAAATTGGTTCTATATAGGCAGTGGGCAAAATGAACCAATTTGGCAGTTACACTCAAGACAGTGGATCTTTGTGTAGGTTATTCAACAGTGTTGTGCCAGCCTACAGGACGAAACACTAAGCTCACAGAAGAGTGTTCACTTAGAAGAAAGCAACACTAATGATCCACACAACATCCTGAATTTGTGTTATGTCCCAGAAAGCCTTATCATAAATTCAGTAATTCTGGTTAATCTACCAAGATAAGTGTGTTTGATTTTGTAAGGTATACGGCAGTGATCTCCTATTTTGGTGTTTTTCAATAAAGTTTTGGTTACGGACAAATCAAAAATTGATGAAATTTTATTTTCCTTTAATATCAGCTTAAATGGTTCTTACAACTGTAAAGCTTTTCCTGACTCTGTAGGGAGGCAGTCACAACTCTGCTCTCAGAACTGAACTTTCTTTTATTCATTTGGCAAATGTTTATTGAGTACTTATTAGGATTGCTATGCTAGGTGCTGGGATTCTAACATGGAAGGTGACTTGGCCATTGTCCTCAGAAACTAACAAACTACTGGAGGAAATAAGCCAATGGGCCACTTAGAGCAGTTGAATAAGTGCTCAATAAAAGTTTTGGAGGGCTCTGAGGCAGGGAAGAGGGGGAGAAGCATGTTTAGCCTGCGGAATAGGAGGTCAGAGAGGATGCTTGAGCTAAGTATTGAAGAGTGAACAGTACAGATAGAGGGAACAGAACATACAAGGTCAGAGGTGTGGAACCATGTGACCTTCAGGGAAATTACAGATGGCTCTGTATGAACAAAGTGAAGGGTGTGGGAGACCAGTGGGAGGGGTAGAGAGGAGCCAGGTTAAAAGGGTCTCAGATTCAAGGAGTTTTGAATTTACCCTGAAGGCTTAGTGATGTGCTTGGTCAAGCACAACTGTGACCCAGAGTGTTCCCTCTCTCTCTTGTCATAGCATTGTGCGTATCCCTCTGTTAAAGCATTTATTACAAATGCCTTAACTGCATATCCTTCTGTCATAGCATTTATCACAATTCTAATTTCCATATGGAGTATTGCTGAAGAGAAAGCAAAATGGAGATGAGACCAGGTTGCAGTAATCCAAGCAAGAAGTGACTGAGAGGAAGGCATGGTCCTACAGGTAGACTCTGATTGGATGTCGGGGTTAAGTAAAATAATCTAGGTTGATTTCCGGCTCAGATAGCAGTGGATGAAAGGGCTTACAAAGAACAGCTTTAAGGGATTGAGCAGCAAATAGTCTAGTCAGCAGACCTGGGTTGCCTGTGTGTTAACCCCAGCAAAGGTCTGTCTTCAAGACTGGAAAATGACCTCTAAGTCTTACACATTCTGCCTGCTAAGAGTGCTTTTGCATTCCTGAGGCCTTGGGCCAAGCTGTACCAGTTTGACTAGATAAGTTGATCCTAACAATGTGATTTATGGTGAATGCCTTTTTCGCCTGTGGGCTGGAGTCTGAGTAGCTGAGATCAGTCAATTGGGTAGGCACTGCATACCTATGTGATGACCCCCGATAAAAACAATAAAAAACCCTGAGCACCAAGTCTTGGGTGAACTTCTGTGGCAACACTTCACATGCATTGTCACATATTGCTGTGACTCCACTGGGAGAAGATACCTGAAAGTTTGTGCTTGCTTTCTCCAAGACTTTGCTCAGGTGCCTGCCCCTTTGCTGATTTTAATCTGTATCCTTTTGCAGTAATAAATCATGACCACAAGTATAACAGCTTTTCTGAGTCCTGTGAGTCCTTCTAGTTCATGTGAGTTCATCAAGCTTAAGGGTGATCTTAGGGACCCCTGACATAGGGATAATGAATTGTTCTGGACATGTTGAATTTAAGGGTCTCTGAGCCATTCAAGTTCATGTGAATGAATTCGGGTTTTTATTAGGGGTCATCAGGTAGGTAAGCGGTGCCTACTCATGTGACTGCCTACTGTTGGCATTTGGATGTATAAGTTTGGAGCTCAACAAAGAGGTCTGGAATAGATATTGAGATCTGAGAGCCAATACATAAGTGGCTATTGAAGCTAGGGGCATACATGAGGTCACAAAAAAGAGATAGATGGTAGAATGAGAAGCAGAAAGTGGAGACTTGGATATCACTGGCATTCAAAAATCAAATGTGCAGGCATGGTGGCATGTGCCTATAGTCCCAGCTACTTGGGAAACTGTGGCAGAAAGTTTGCTTGAGCCCAGGAGTTCAGCAGTGAACTATTATCACACCACTGCACTCCAGCCTGGCCAACAGAGTGACACCCCGTCTATACTTGAGAAAGAAAGAAGAGAAAGGAAAAGAAAAGAAAAAGAAAAAAGGCAAATATGGAAGCAAAGGCTCCTTTTATGGAGGGAAGAGACAGAAGGTTGAGAGTCAATATCAAGAATATATCTAGGCCAGGCATGGTGGTTCTTGTCTGTAATCCCAGCACTTTGGGAGGCTGAGGCAGGCGGATTGCGTGAGCCCAGGAGTTTGAGACAAGCCTGGGCAACATAGTGAAACCCTCCCTCTATAAAAAATACAAAAATTAGCTAGGCATGGTGGTGTGCTTGTAGTCCCAATTACTCAGAAGGCTGAAGCGGGGATCACTTGAGCCCAGGAGGTCAGGTTGAGGCTGCAGTGAGTCGTGATAGCACCACTGCACTCCAACGTGGGTGACAGAGCAAGACCCTGTCTCAAAAAAAAAAAAAAAAAGGCACCCTTAGGAAGGAGAGAATTCCAAGGAAGTTCAAATGTTATAAAGAAAACAATATATACAAAAACACTGGCAGTATTGTGGTCATTAGTAACTTTAAGGAGAGTTCCTCTGCATTTCCTAAGCTAATGTAACCAATATTTATTGAGCACCTGCTGTGTCCTGAGCCCTCATGAACTCAGTATAAAAGCAGACGCCCAGGTAATTGATTTTATCTTGAGTGGGTATCTCCCTGGAGAGAGTGTAGCGGTGGGGAACTCCTCAGTCCCTCGTGAGAGTGGGAGGTTGGTTGTATGTCCTGAGCTGTATCTTAAAGGATAAGTAGGAGTGAACCAGGAGGGATATGTCCAGGGCACCACTCACAGTGGGGTTTTGGGTAGCATAAAGGGCAAAGCAGGGGACCAGACACCAGGCCAGCAAGAAAGTCTGGAATCTGATCCCTCAAGAGAAGCTTGGGCATTATCCTGAAGGCATTTCCTGGAGACACTGAAGGATGTAATACAGAGGAGTAAAAAGATGACTCACACTTTAAATAATAATTCACTTGGCAGTTCTGAGAATGACCTAAGGGAAACAGATCTGGGGGCAAGAAGGGCTCTTAGGAGACCAATGCACCAGTCCTGGTGTTTGGGTGTGTGAGTATGAAGTTCTTTCATTTGCAGTTCCTATATGAGTTTATTTTTCTGCCTTAACTAAGGTCCCTGAGAAAAACAGAACCATGTTTTATGCTTTTATAAATTTCCTTTCTCTCCAAGCTGAGCATGTGGTCCATCATGAGCCATCTGGGAAAACACACTTTTATACTGGGAACCTTTCTGACATATGCATGCTTTTCAGGAAAGTGGAAAGTATATCCTCATTGAAAATTAGTTTCAGATTTGAGATACATTGTAGGACTCAATATATTGCCCTTATTAGAAGGCAAATCTTTTACTGTCATACACATGACTAAGCTGGACCTCAGGAAGAATTCATTTCTGTTTTCCACATTTAATTGACATGAAGGTTTATTCATCCCTACCGTTATTAATATCAAGAAAATGGACAGAGGCACTAGCATTATTTTAATCAGATTAGTTCTAGATAATGGGTGAATTATCCTAGGAAGAAGAACTAAAACCCGACCCCTGGCAAACTCCTAATGATGAGTCTCTACTGCTATCATTGGTGGTGTCCCTCGGCAGCTCACAGTCATGTTAGGTGAATGTGGGCCTGTGGGGAAGTCCTGTAGTGCTCCCTGGAGTGCTTGGGGAGAGATCACCAGCAGTACCCAGTTGTTTAGTAACCAAGCTCTGATTGGTGCATCTCATAATCAGTAGTGCTGGGCACCTGTCATATCTAGAACAAGTTTCTGCTGGCAGCCGAAGTCCACTGTTGGCTTTGACATTTTGGTTCTTCGAGGACGGTGATAATGGTCGTGTGTAACCCACCAAGAAGTTAACTGTTCATAGCAGCTTGAGTGTAATAACTCCTGGTTATACTAGCCTAAAAAGGCTTTCTGCAAGAAATGCAGTATAAATTGGGCCTCCAAAATCTAGGTTTCTCTGTGCCTTTTTAAAATTAAAACTTTAAAAAAATGCCTGGAGCTAAAAAGAGAGAAAAAATAGAATTTACTCATCTATGGATTATTAAAAACCCAACATGCTCTATGACATAGAAAAGTAAGCATATATGTTCTTATTCAAAAATTTCATCAGACATGTGTATTTCATCAGACTGATAGGGCAAAACTGATATTTAAGATCAGAAGTACACCTGAAAGGTCAGGACTCTGGTATCCACCTAAACCATGGTAGAGCATATGTAACGCTGGGAGAGAAAAACTTAAGTTGGGATGTTGAATGGACAGAGGTTGCTGGATTTGAATTGAACTGATGCTTCTTTGCTTCAGAAACAGCTCTTCTGGCACGATGGTGACCTGCCATGGAAAATGCTGGGTCCCAATGCCCAAGTGACTGTAGCTGTGGTTCAGCCAGGACCTGACCATTTAGATCACCTGTTTTCAGACATGCAACACTGTCAACATAGGTAAGTTTCCATTTTTTATGAGCCATGTTAAAAAAGGTGAAATTAAACAGGTGGAAATCATTTTAGTAATAGGTTTTATCTAACCCAATATATCTAAACTATTATCATTTGAAACTATAATCAATGTAAAATTGCCAACTGATTTTACATTTTTCTCATACTCAATCTTTGAAATCCAGTGTATATTTTATACTTACAGCACATCTCAGTTCAGACCAGCCACCTTTCAAGGCCTCAATAACCGCAGGTACTTAGGCTTTCGTATTGGACTTCACAGCTCTACGAGTGGACCCAGAAAGAATATTTAAAGGGAAAACACTCTATTTCCATTAAGCAAAAGCAACTTATTTTCTAGCAGTACTTATAGGAATACCTTTTTTGTTGTCATTAAATTCCATCCTCTTTTCCACGATAAGGTTGCTATTATTAAGAAACTTAATTTGGTGAAACAGACACTAAAATAGTTACCATGTGAGATGTAGCACGTTAAAAAACGCTATGTGAACACAGAGAAGAAAATCAAAGACCCCAAGATAAAATTAAAACTGCATTTCCCTATAGCATAGTGATGTTGACTTAATTAACCATCTGTTTATCTCAATGCACCTATACCTTTTCTGGAGCTTTGATTTCCCCACAGCTCACTATATTCCTTTTCTAGTGCAGCATTAACAAGTTACCACAAACTTGGAGGCTTAAAATAACACATTATTATTTCACAGTTCCTGTGGGTCAGCAGCCTGGACACAGCTTACCTGGGTCCACTGCTCGGGAGGATCTCACAAGGCTTCAATCAAGATGTCAGCCCAGTCTGTGGTCTCCACTGAGGCTCCAAGGGAAAGACCCTGCTTCCAAGCTCACCTAAGTTGTTTGCAAAATTTGGTTCTTCGCAACTGTAGAATGGAGGGCTTCAGTTTATTTCTAGCTATGCGGTGGGGCGGGGTGAGGGAGCTGCCCTCAGATCCTAGAGGTCACCCACAATTCCTTGCCCCTTGTCTATGCTGCACAGAGGCGGCCCACGCATTTCAGCTTGCTTTGCCAAAGCCAGCAACGAAAGACTCCAGCAAGACACATTCTATCATCTTATGTATGCAATCCTGTGCAGGCAATCACGGACATGTCCATCACATACGTAACCACGTCCACTCCATCACCTTTGCTGTATTCTTTTGGCCCACTCAAAGGGTGTGGACTAGTTAGGGCGTGAGAATCAGCCCTCTTAAGTCAGCCTTCGCTATTTCATGTGCCAGCTTTCTAGAATATTGATCCTTTTGGTATTTTAAGTCATATCTGCTGTCATTGGAAATCCTCTTTGAAGTAGAAAGGACAGAGCTCACAAAATATAAACCGCACCACTATTCCTGCCTGTCATTTAGACGTTTGCCAGGGTAGCAGGTTGATTTCAGTCTTTTCACGGAGTTTACTCTTTGATATGATGATATCTTTACCCCCATAATTAATTTTATTTTTATTTTTGAGACATGGTCTCATTCTGTTACTCAGGCTGTAGTGCAGTGGTGCGATCTCGGCTCACTGCAAGCTCAACCAGCCCAGGTTCAAGAGATCCTCCCACCTCAGCTTCCTGGGACCACCCCAGTGGGACCACTGGCGCAAACCACCATGCCCAGCTAATTTTTAAAAATTCTTTGTAGAGAGGGGGTTTCACTATGTTGCTCAAGCTGGTCTCAAATTCCTGGGCTCAAGCGATCCGCTTGCTTCCTACTCCTTTGGGATTCCACAAAGTGCTGAGATTACACGTGTGAGCCACCACGCTTGCCCCCTGCATAATTAATTTTAAATTAATCTCCACATTTCATTCTCTTGGGCTAGATTTCGGGGGAGGGGCCTAATTTAGATGGCGTGTGCCCCATTGGGTGAATCAAATAAAAGCATAGCTGCCCTGGGACGGGCGTCGTGGCTCATGCCTGTAAATCCCAGCACTTTGGGAAGCCGAGGCGGGCAGATCACGAGGTCAGGAGATCGAGACCATCCTGACTAACACGGTGAAACTCCGTCTCTACTAAAAATACAAAAAATTAGCCGGACGTGGTGGCGGGCACCTGTAGTCCCAGCTACTTGGGAGGCTGAGGCAGGAGAATGGCGTGAACCCGGGAGGCGGAGCTTACAGTGAGCTGAGATCGTGCCGTTGCACTCCAGCCTGGGCGACAGAGCCAGACTGTGTCTCAAAAAAAAAAAAAAAGGCATAGCTGCCCTGGCATGGATCTGTGAACAAAAGTTCTCTGAAAAGAAATTTGGAAGAAAGACTTCATTCAGGAACAGTTCACAAGCTTTCTGTGTAAACCAGTTACTTTCCAGAGAACAAAGGGAGGGTCCTGGTTTTATACTAAAAGTTCACGCTCAGGTTCCCAATCAGGTCCATTTTATGCAAATGAAGGCTTTAAATTTGCTTAGTTCTGATTGGTTGATGCAGCTGCATTCTGACTAGTGGATAGAACTGAGTCCTAATTGGTTCTTTCAGATGAGCTCTGATTGGCTGCTTTAGGTGAGCTCTGAAAGCCCGAGTTAAACTAAGGTTGGGGTTTCCAGGGAAACTCCGAGTATGTGAGCTCTAGTCAGCAAATGGCCTGGCCACTTGGCTCTCTTTACAATTTTGGCCCAGTTAGGTACTTGGGATTCATCTTGAAGGATTGGCTTTTGAAGGATTTGTTCTGTGAGCACTTGTGAACCTGAGAGGCCGGGAAGGCAGAGTGAAAACCAGAACCCTTGGCACCCATCAGTTAGCACAGGATCATTTCCTGGATCATCAGGATCCCTTATAAATGTGTCTAATGGCCAACTTGCAGAGAGGGCTGTTGTTGATACACTCTTCTGAGTTTCCCTCTGTGAACACCTTCATCTGGTTCATACAGGAAAATTAAGGAAGCCGAATTTTTGGGAGAGTGATTGAAACTGTGGAATAATCAAAGCAAACCAATGGCAGCTTGTGTTTAAAATTAAAGACCAACTGTAAAGCACGGCATTTACCTATAGTAATTTCTAAAAGTTATCAACAGAGTGAAACAATACCCAGTGGGCCATGACCATGTCAGCGTTGGCTCATTCCTCAGAAACTACATGGTGTCAGGGCTCCATGTTCATGGACACCATGAGGGGAGCCTCCTAGCAATGACCCTCTTCTCTCCTGCAGGAAGTCCAAGGTCCTTTCCGTGACAGTCTTATTCCCAAATAGCATTTGCTTTCAACCCATGGTATTTCCATATTCCATGAAGAAAACTAAAAATATAGACGAATCACCCTGCAAGTATCCAGAGAGTTTCCAGGGGGTTTCACACACACACACACACACACACACACACACACACGTTTAGTGGGGATCTTTTAGGTCAATACATATAGATCTACATCATTATTAGTTGTTGCTTGGTGGTCTACTGCATGAATGGTTAATAATTGTTTAATTTTTCCTAGTTAGACAATAAAGATTTTTAAAGAATATATCTTTGTGTATTTGCTTATTTATTTGATTAAGATAAATTCCTGAAATTGGAATTGTTAAACCAAGAAATATGCATATTTTTAAGGCTTTTGTTATGTTTTGTCAAATGATCCTCAGAAAGAATGTTATCAATTCACACTTCCACTAGCACTACAGGATAGAACTATTTGGTATTTTTTATGTTGTTACCTTTGCTGGTTTTATAAATAAAATATTCTCTTGTTCTTCTTGTTTTTTTTTTCCTTTTACTACTGAACTTGAATTTTTTCCCCATTTTCATTAGCCATTTGTATTTTTTATCCTTCAAGTCTTTACTACTTTTCAATGAGGCCTCCCTGACCACCCTACTTCAAGTTGCAAACAAACCCCTTGACCCCTGACATTCCTGACATCCCTTTACCTTGCTCTGCTTTATCTTTTTTCCTATTGTAATAATCATTTCTAACATAATATACAATATACTTATTTACTAATAAGTACTTCCTCCCCAGCCAAGTTCTGGGAAGTGGAGGGGACTCTGATCACATCGAATATACAGCCTCTTCCTTGGCTTAGATAAGAGACAAGACAAGCTCTTATTCTCCTGGCACTGCAGCTCCTGTCCTTAGATGACTCCGGGATAGTTATTTGACCTGGACTTAAAGGTTATTCCCAAACTGCATGGAACATGTAGAATATGATGTGACTTCCTAATTTTTTGTTCATGTATATGCATACATACGTATAAACGCACACCCACACTAATATTTATCTGTATATATTTATAAGTGTGTGAATATTTTAACATTTTAAAGTTTATGAACTCGGCTATGTTTCATGCTCAGTGTATACATTAAATATACTTGGCTTCTTTTTCTGAAAAGCTGTTATTTATTATTTATGTCCAGCTGATTACGTCTTAAAATAATAAAATATATAGGCTGGGTGTGGTGGCTCACGCCTGTAATCCCAGCACTTTGGGAGGCTGAGGTGGGTTGATCACAAGGTCAGGAATCGAGACCATCTTGGCTAACACGGTGAAACCCCATCTCTACTAAAAAATACAAAAACTTAGCCAGGTGTGGTGGTGGGCGCCTGTGGTCCCAGCTACTCGGGAGGCTGAGGCAGAATGGTGCGAATCCGGGAGGCGGAGCTTGCAGTGAGCAGAGATCAAGCCACTGCACTCCAGCCTGGGTGACAGAGCGAGAAAATAGTAATAATAATAATAATAATAATAACAATAATAATAAAAGATATAAAATGAACACTAGTACCACTGACAACTCTAGACCTCTTGAAAAATTGTTACAATAAGAATATCATTTGCTGGCCGGGCGCGGTGGCTCAAGCCTGTAATCTCAGCACTTTGGGAGGCCGAGACGGGCAGATCATGAGGTCAGGAGATCGAGACCATCCTGGCTAACACGGTGAAACCCCGTCTTTACTAAAAAAATACAAAAAAACTAGTCGGGCGAGGTGGCGGGCGCCTGTAGTCCCAGCTACTCGGGAGGCTGAGGCAGGAGAATGGCGTAAACCCGGGAGGCAGAGCTTGCAGTGAGCTGAGATCCAGCCACTGCACTCCAGCCTGGGCGACAGAGCAAGGCTACGTCTCAAAAAAAAAAAAAAAAAAAATCATTTGCTTAAATTTGTTAAAGAAGCATTCTGGCATTCTTATTCCTAATGTTTAGTCTCTTTTATTATTTATTTCAGAACAGAGTCATCCAATAAATCTTTACAGAGTGTCTACTATATGTTAGACACAGTTCTAGGTACATAGGATACGTTAGACTACAGTTGGGTTAGCAGGTTTTTTCTCTCAAGGGCCAGATAATAAATATTTTAAGCTTTGCTAACCGAGAGGTAAAATCGAGAATATTAATGTAGTTACTTACATAATAAGAGAGAAAACAAATTTCCACAATTTTCTTATTGATGAAATTCATAACCAAATAACAGTATTCAGTTTTAAAGTTAGTTTTCTCTACCTTCAAAATTAATTGCAAATCTTCATTGGTTAATGTCAACTTGCAATGAGATTTTACATATTTTGTCCTTAAAAATGTCCTTTCACACAGATAGGTTCTGCCTAATACCAACATCTTTCCATGAACATATCATTTTAATTGAACATATTTATTGTTTGGAAAGTGCTTATAGAATTCGGTTCTTGGCTTAATATTTGTCATTTAGTATGTTATTACATTCCAAATTAATCACTTCCAAGTGGAGATTAGGTGAAGCTCTTTAATTGTAATTTAAATGGACTTTGAAATATGAAATTTTCATTGCATTTGCTTTGAGGTCTGTCACAAATCACTGAAAGTGCATTAGCAATGTGGCCCAACCAATCTACAGTATAGGATGCCAACCTGCATTTGGAAATACAAGGCGAGGGGTTCATTCCACCAGGAGATGGAGTTGGCAATGGAAGTGGTCAGGACTTCAGGCGATGTGCAGGTTCTAGTCCTCACAGCATCTGAGCAGAAACCCAATCCCATGGGCCAGGCCAGTGGTTCTCACCCACAGCTATGTGGCAGGAAATTAACTATAATACAGTATTAATGTTTGTGAATGAATTATTTTTCTAATATGATTTAGGCCCAATTCAAGCATATCCTTACTGTTATTCCTACACAATCACAGTTTATTCTTTTTTTGTTTTTGTTTTTGTTTTTGAGAGAGTCAGGTATGGTCTAACTATTAGTATGCAGGATGTGTGCTGTGCACATAAACATCACCAGGTGAGGACTGGAGGAAAAAACCACTCACCTGAGATGCAAGACTGCTATCAAGAAATGACCCGCTAAATAAAAACAAAACAGAAACAGAAATGACCCACCGCAGTAGTCCTGTAGGAGCCCAGAGCTCACCACCTCAGAGACCATGGTAATGGCAATGAAGTAACTCTACATCCCACATGTCCCTGGATCACAGGCTACTGATGGATTGCTGGTGTTGGTTTTCTCCAGAACTGGATGACTCTCGTTTTAGTCCATTTTCTGTTGCTGTAACAGAATACCACAGACTGGGTAATTTATGAAGGAAAAAAAGTGTATTTGGCTTATAGTTCTGGAAACTGGGAAGTCCAAGAATATGGTGCTGGCATCTGTAAGGACCTTCCTGCTGCATCATAACACAGCAGATGGCATGACATGGCAAGAGGGCAAGAAAGCCACAGAGAGCTTGCTTTCACAACGAAGCCACTCCCACAATAATGAACCACTCCCATGATGGTGACATCCATTCATTCATGAGAGCGGAGCCACCATTAATCGATTTATGAGAACAGAGGGATTAGGTTTCCAACACACAACTTTTAGGGGACACATTCAAACCATAGCAGCTTTTTACCTGCAGGTTGAAGTTGATCACTTCCACACTAAAGTCACAGGGTATTCTTCTCATTGAGGTTTGGAAGGAGTTGTCTAAAGCTTTCCTCCTGGAATTCCTGCAGAAAATAGTTAACTTAAACCCATTGCTGCCTGACCCTGGCTGGGGGAGGGTGGTCAGAAATGAGGTGCCCCAAATCAGGATACTAGAGTTGCATTGAGTATTTACTTTCTGGAAGCTGCCTGTGCATGTACGTCCACCTTCTGAGAAACCCCTTTTTTCCCTAATAAACTACAAAGGAAAGTGAGGGGAATTGGGGCAGTAGTGCTGACGGCAGGAGAGATAGTAGAAGCTCTGAAAATGCTGCCTCCAAACCCTACCTTCCTTTTGCTCTGCTCATATGTACTGGAGAGAGGAAGGCTCTCTCCTTAAACAATAACCTTCGCAGAAATCCTATTCGCAGCTCCCCGAGGCTGAGAGTGAATTTTCAGAAGATGAATTATTGTATCATATATTTGGCTTAACTTAATATCTGGGTAAATGGAGCTAGCATTGGCTCAGTTTGGCGAGGCTTGTTCTGGGAGCCTCATTTTCTTCTCTCCCTGAGGACAGGATCATGCGCACGATGTCCTTGTGCCCCACAAAGTTCTATTCCCCCACTGTCACCAGGGAGCTCGGAAAAGGGGTTCTCGAAGTAGTCTGGAGCAAAAGGGCTATCCGTCAGGGCCAGCATGGTGTGCACATGAATGTCATCTTAGATAGTTCATTTTGTCTGGACACATTGATTCAGCTACAGCAATTAACTGCATGGTGGCTTGAGCTCTATTCCTGGTGGCTGGGTGTCCAAACTGGTCCTTGATCTGTGCTCATAGTCACAGGAGCCACAGCCTGCAAGACTCACCCCTGAACACAATGAACACTTAGCACGGGCAGTGAGAAAGCTGTTTATCATCCTCTGCACCTGGGGAAAGAGAAGAATAAATCCTAATGTGAAAGTTCTGACTTTAGGTGAGCTATTTCACCTTATCCTGTCCTCAAAAGTCATCTCTAAATGTTCCTGCTTCTTATTTTCAAGCTTAGACGGCCTATCTTTCTTCACTCATATGTATCCCAAGAGAAACTTGGGTGTAGTGGGGCCAGAGGATAGGTGTCCTTGCAATCCAGTTTGATCCTAGAAGGGGTGAGTCTGCCCTCGCCCTTTAGGATAATATGCCAAATTAGGGTAACAGGAGGGATGCAATTCTCCTATGGTTGAGTGTATACTTTTTAAACAGCCAAAAAATGCACAAATAAGAATAAGGCAAGATGTGGCCGGGCACGGTGGCTCACGGCGGCTCACGGCTATAATCCCAGCTCTTTGGGAGGCCGAGGCAAGCAGATCACCTGAGGTTGGGAGTTTGAGACCAGCCTGACCAACATGGAGAAACCCTGTCTCTACTAAAAATAAAAAATTAGGCAGGTGTGGTGGTAGGTGCCTGTAATCCCAGCCACTCAAGAGGCTGAGGCAGGAGAATTGCTTGAACCTGGGAGGCGGAGGTTGTGGTGAGCCGAGATCGTGCCATTGCGCTCCAGCCTGGGCAACAAGAGGGAAACTGTCTCAAAAAACAAACAAACAAACAAACAAACAAACAAACAAACAAACAAACAAAGAATAAGGCAAGATGTAGACTATATGACTTAATGGAAAAATTCATACTGGTTGCTCAGCCAGGTCAGAATTAGATGACCATCTTCCATGGGGTCAAGTATAAGTACCCACGTCTTAAAAACTGCTTCTGTGTCCCCACTCAGCTCAGGATTTAGGCTTTGAAACTGGTAAATAAAGCTGCACCAGAAAGTGTTGAGCATCAAACTGGTCAATTAATAGTTACAGAGGTTCAGGTCAGAGTATCTCTGTCTAAACAGTCCCTGAGAGAGATAATCATCCCACCAGTTCTGAGAAATGTAGAGAGAACTTGTATCTTAAGTGACTCATTTAACATAAAAGCAGCCTATTAAGTTGTCTATTTTGAAATTTCACTCTACAAAATTTTCAAAAGGCTTCTAAATGCATATTCAGCTTTGTTATGGCATGTGAAGAACATTATTAAAGAGAAAAAGATTCTAAGGGCATAGAGAATAATGGGCTCACCCTCTCCACTAGTGAACACTTAGAGTCTGACATCATCCATCCGTTTCTCTGTGTCCCTTGCAAGGGGACGGTCATGCCCTGGGTAATCTCAAGGAACACTCCTTTCCCATATTCTATTGGAGATGTTGGAAGAACCATCTAAAATGTGCTACAGTCTGGTACTGGCCCTTTCATGGCCAAGCTGCGATCCTTTGGGCAAGTTGTTCAAACTCTCTAAGCTTAGTTTTTCAACTGCAATAAGGACGATTCTAGCTCAAAATCTGGGCAAGTGTGAGTCACTGCCATTATGTGCAGTCAGACTCTGTCATGTCTCCTCCATCAAGCTACCCAGGAGGCTTGGGAGAATCAAATGTAAGGAGGTGTAATGCTATCAAGTTTAGAAAATATACAAACGCAGCTTCAAGACAACAACTTCCCTCCTTCTAGCTCATTTGAATCCCACAGCAATCAGGAAACATAACTGTCAGGTAATATTTTTATATCCTTTTGGGATGAGCAAACTAAGCTTAAGCAAGGTTAGGTTATTTACTCAGAAGCACATAGCTAGTAAGTAGCCTAAGAAGAACCTGGGCCTTTAACCAAATGCTGCAGACTTTCTACCCTACTCGCTGACTCTATAAAAAAGGCAAACTGGCCAGACCAGGCATGGTCCACCAGTCTTACCAGTGTCACCCAGGTGCTGGCTTGTATTAGGTTGGTGTAAAATTAATTGCGGTTTTGGCCACTACTTTTAATGACAAAAACTGCAATTACGTTTGCACCAACCCAATACTTCCTGAAGCCTTTATTTTTACCAAGCAGAAGGGGAATGTACCCCTTCCTCATGCTTCCACACAGGAAAATATACTCTACTAAGCATTGCTGAGCAATGTTGATCTCACTAGAGACTTCATTTCATGGGGACAGAAAGATTGGAGAATTTGACTTTGTACTTCCACACACCACATCATCATCACCACCACAGATGGGTTTTTTCCTACAGGCTCTTCTCTCTGCCTCAGCCTCCACCAGGCTGCAGACGACCAGACAGAGGGAGGAAGGAAGGAGAGAGAGAGAGAAAGACAGAGAGAAGCAGAGCCTAGGATGCTACATGTAAACAGTGAAGTAGATACACCACTCCCAAATCAACGACTGTAATCCAAACTCTAACCACATCCCGCAGAGAGGGGCAGGTTCAGAATTTCCATAAGGAAAAGTGTCACTTAGGGGTCCCAGTCTAGCTGGAAGGGACGGGGATGCTTTGTTTTGACACAGCATGTGCAAAGCAAACACATCATTTCCATTTAGCTTGTGTGCTTATCTGGGGTGACATTGGCAAATCAGAAACACGACTATATGAAAGAGTGTTTGTGTGGAGGAAAAAAAAGACAAAGACAGTGACCAAAGAGGCTTCAGCACTCTGCCAGGTGAAGGAAAAAGGTGCAAAGGCCCAGAGTGTTCCCGCAGTCAGGAACTCACAGCCTAGGAAGGCAGGCACATGGTCAGTGAAACTCGGCAGGAAGAAGCATGGCTCCAGGGGTTGGGATGGGGGCTGAAGTTCCATCATATGATGAAATACTCTCTCTGAGCCTTCTAGTTTTTTATATTTTTATTTTGAGACGTTGTTTCGCTCTTGTTGCCCAGCCTGGAGTACAATGGAACCATCTCGGCTCACTGCAACCTTCGCCTCCTGTGTTCAAGCGATTCTCCTGCCTCAGCCTCCTGAGTAGCTGGGATTACAGGTGCCCGCCATTATGCTCAGCTAATTTTTTGTATTTTTAGTAGAGACGCGGTTTCACCATGTTGGCCAGGCTGGTCTTGAACTACTGACCTCCAGTGATCCGACCGCCTCGGCTTCCCAAAGTGCTGAGATTACAGGCGTGAACCACCGCATTCGGCTCGAGCCTTCCAGTTATGAAAGTGAACTTTGAGACCAAGTTTTCTTCCTCCTGGGCCCCATTGACCACCGCCACCTACTTACCCCCAGCCAACGGGTAACCGCAGCTTAGGAGATCCCAGCTGAGGAGGAAAAAACAAGCTTCCTTGGGAACCAGAGCAGTTTATCAAACCAAGAAGCAGGAAGGCCCCATTTTTAAGGCCGGGGAGCCCCTACTCCCTGCCATTTGGACGTTCTGTGTTCTCTTCAACGGAGTCAGTTTGACACCGGGCCTGACTCCTCAACAGCATTGCCTAGTTGGTTTAAACATATACTTATCATCATATATAATTGTGTATAGAAAAAGACACTAGGAGAAAATACCTAAACATGTGTTTATCTCTGAATGATGAGATTAAAGGTATTTTATTTTCTTTTTTATGCTTTCTGTGTTTTCTTCCCACCCAAAATTTTTATAATGAATAAGCATTACTTTGGAGAATAGAAAAAAATAATTGGTTTTGCTTTAGAAACACACACACACAGGTGGACGGAAATGAGGGAGTGGTGAGGAGGTGGGAAATAGCCATAATCCAGTCTCAGGAAGCCACGCGTGGATGACCCGGTTGTCAGCTCCTCCCGCGGGGATAGGCGGATCTGAGGCCCACCCTGACGGCTCACTGGGTCGCCCGCGAGCCCCGCACCTCGGCCCCGGCAGAGGGCGCTACGGAGCCGGGCGCCGGTGCCTTCTCGCCCTTCGGCAGGAAGGGCGATTCTCAGCGTCCTCTCCAGTGGAGGACATGAGCCCTCCCAGGGTCGTGGGAGAGCCAGCGCAGAGGGGAAGGCACCTTGTACGCCGTGAAGCGGGGATGCAGTTGTTACCCTAACCAGAAGGGCACCCCGTCACAAATACTGGCGCGCGCGCGTGCGCCACCTGCTTCCCTGCAGAGGGCGCCGCGGGCCAGCCTCGTCGAGCGCGGGGTGGGATACCGGTAGCCCAGGACAGCCCGCGGAGCAGGCCCGGGCTGCCGCGGACCCCTCTTGGCCAGCCTCCTGCGCTCAGAGCCTCCCCGCTGGAGCTCCACCCTCGCCCGGAGGCGGCTTGTTCACCCAGCGCGCGCCCAGGGGAGCGGCTGAGCCTGACAAGATCCCATTGCCCCCAAAACCCCAAGAGTGACTGCACTGGTTTTGCAAAAAAGGAAGGAAGGAAGGGAGGGAGGAAGGAAGGGAGGGAGGAAGGAAGGGAGGGAGGAAGGCAGGGAGGGAGGAAGGGAGGGAGATAATACGTAATAGTATGTAGTTGTGAAAAATCCAAATAACGTGTGTATATTTAAAAAATCAGTCCTTTCGGCCAGGAGCGGTGGCTCACGCCTGTAATCCCAGCACTTTGGGAGGCCGAGGCGGACGGATCACGAGGTCAAGAGATCGAGACCATCCTGGCCAACATGGTGAAACCCTGTCTGTACTGAAAACACAAAAATGAGCTGGGCGTGGTGGTGGGCGCCTGCAGTCGCAGCTATTTGGGAGGCTGAGGCAGGAGAATTGCTTGATCCCGGGAGGTGGAGGTTGGAGTGAGCCGAGATTGCGCCACTGCACTCCAGTCTAGCAACAGAGACTCCGTCTCAAATAAATAAATAAAAACAATAAGTCCTTTCTGCTGACTCCAAGTTTTAGAGCCTTACTCCTCTAATGCAAATTTTAAAAATCTCTGAATCTGCCTGTAATCTATAAAACCCCTGCTTCCATCTTTAAGCCCCCTGCTTCAAGATCGCCTGCCTTTTCTGCTGAACTAATGTATACCTTCCCTGTATTGATTTCGGTCTTCGCCTGTAACTCCTGCCCTCCTGAAATGTATAAAATCAAACACATGCGGCTGCCTCGGGACCACTTACTCAAGGCTTCTTGGGTTGTGTTTTCCGGGGGCGGAGGTTACTCATACTGGCTTGACTAAACCTCTCTTTCAGATATTTTACAGACTGATTTTTCTGTTTACAGTATTAATCAAAATGTTAACATTGGTAACTTCTAGGGGTAGAATTATGAATGATTCTTGATTCCTGAATGTTCTACAACATTCAGAAATGGTGTATTTGGGGTTGGGGGAGAATTGTTACTATTTTTAAATCCCATCTACTCTTGGGGCTGTCCTCATTCTACATACACAGACTAACTCCCGGTGGCAGCTCAGAGTCTTTTTATCGTGCACGGAGAGATTCATCATCTCCCACCCACACCAAGCAGCACTTTAGGTCCCCTGGTAACAGAACTGAAGGTTTGTATCTCAGTGACTAATGATTATAATGCCCTTGGCTACTTCCTGTATTTTTACCACCTCCAGGAGCAGATTAATCAGAGAACGTTCCCTGCTGGCTTCTGGGAAATAACAAACACAATGATGACGCTATCAAGTCTCTGTGGATTAAAAAACCTTTACAAAGGGGCGTTCTTTCTTTTTGTCTTGTTTTTTGTTTTTTTTTGTGTTTTTTTTTTCTGTTTTTGTTTTTTTTGTTTTTGTTTTTTTGAGACGGAGTCTTGCTTTGTTGCCCAGGCAGCAGTGCAGGAGCATGATCTGTGATCTGGGCTGGGTGCAAACTCTGCCTCCTGGGTTCAAGCGATTCTCCTGCCTCAGTCTCTGAAGCAGCTGGGACTACAGGCGCCCACCACCACGCCCGGCTAATGTTTGTATTTTTAGTAGAGACAGGGTTTCGCCCTGTTAGGCTGGTCTCAAACTCCTGACCTCAAGTGATCTGCCCGCCTCAGCCTCCCAAAGTGCCGGAATTGCAGGCATGCGCCACTGTGCCCAGCCACGTTGTTTCTTTTTGAGTCTTCAAAAGAAATTTTGAAAATTTTCTTTGATTTTTGAAGGCAGAAAACCCAAATTCGGATTTGAAGCTTGTTCTAATCAACCTAGAGTCTTTTTGTCTTTGGGAGCTATATAGACATTACAAGTCTCTTCCTTTCCTTCCCAGCAGAAAAGCCTTTGATGCTGTATTCTTAGCACATGGAACCCTAAACCAAAGCCTGCACTGGGGTGTTTGTGAGAAGCATGTGTGCAAAGCCTGAGAGACTACCCTGTTGGGTGTGCTGCTGGGCAGGGGTGTTCTGGTTTGACCTTGTACACGTAAGTGACTTATTTTAAATACATGTATTTTTTAATCACAATTTTAAAGGTAAATTAAAATGCTTAACATTTTGGTAACAGAGGGAGGAAACAAACAAGAGCCCTGTGTAAGCCTTTCATTCCCTGTGGATCAACCATTTCTAGTAAGTTCCTGTAGAGTATCTACTTCACCAGCCAGTATGATCAGCAGCAGGGAGCCATTACTCCAGGGACATTCTCAGACTTTAACATTTCACCAACAAGTAAAATTCCAAAACAACTTTAGGAATTGGCCATGGAATGCCAGCTTTTAGTTTGTCAAATGAAATTGTTAGGAACCTGCCATCTACTGGCACTACTCTTTTTACAAAAGAAAGACATGTTGACCACAAGAAATGGACATGATCTCAGAATAAAGGACTGTCTCTTAAAAGAAAATTTCACCTTATAGAATATTTTGCCATATTTTCCTTAATTTTTCATTTTTCCAAAATGAAAATGTTGTTACCAACTTGCATTTTGCCCATTTGCCTGACTTTGTCACTATAGCCCAGTGATTATCATTGAATCTTTATTTGATGGGACCTAGTCTTTAACATTTTAGGGCCATGATACTGAGTATCATTGAACAGTATCAAGAACATTGAGGTGAGAAATGTTAGATATTTGACTGACTTCATACTAATTCCGGGATCTTATACGAATCCTGCAACCACACTTTTGAATTTAGATAAGTATACTACTTTAATTTAGATGAGATTGTTTTTGTTTCCGTTGAGTTGTACAGTACTTTCTAGGTATTATAATTGAAGGTCTTTTTACTTGGATTCTTGTCTGTTGAAGGCGCTCTGCTAGTGACCACCCAACGAACAGAGAATTTTGATATCATACTCTTTGGCCTAAAGTCTCTTTCGAATTATAATCATTGAATTTCAAGCAAGCAATGCTTTGAAGGTGGGTTGTACTAGCCAACAACTTAAATGAGTTGAGGCGAAGCACAGTAAGAATCAATTGAAACGAAGGTGTACTATATACAAACAATTTTTTTAACCTTTTCTAGAACTGAAGCAGATACTAGGACAACATTCATCTTCTCATGCCTTAAAAACAATAAAAAGGGCATGCAGTCTGTAGGAGAGCTCTCCTGATTTGTCAATGCCTGCAACGCGTAGCTCATATCTCAACCTGCTGACATTGTCCCCGCGCGCAAGCCTGGTAGAATAAATACAAGGAAGCTCCGTGGAGGATGAGACAGGCAGGAGGTTTTCTGGGCACAGGCTCTACTGTATTATAGAGTAGAAATAACAACCTCAACCTTAAATATGACTTTCTTTCCAAACTTGAAATTAGTTGGTGTTAAAGTATTTTAGCCAGGGAAAGAAAAACCCTTTAGCAGTTTTATATTGTCTTGAAATGGAAATCTTTGATCCAGGTCCTGGATGTCTGGGAACAGCATGCATTTGCAGCCTCAGATTTCTTGAACTGCGATTCTCAAAGAAGCTTCCATCAGAAAGGACTCTGCAGAAGACTCACACAACATTGGTGCTTCCGTAGGCTTCATCCTTGACTTTGTTCCCTCATTCTTTTCTAGGTCAGGCCATCTCTGACTTGTGGCTGCAGCTGTCACTTAGAGCCGCACACCTCCTAAATTGGTACCTCCAGCTCTGACTTCTCTTCAGTGCTCCAGACACGTGTATTTTTCTGCTTGCCAAACATCTTCCACACAACAGGCACTTTAAACTCAACATATTCCAAATCAAACTAATCACATTCTGCTTGCTATCGGCAGCCTTCTTCACTCTCTTATTCCTTTATTTTGGTTAGTAGCAGTGTCATTTACCAAACTGCTCAAGTCAAAAGCACTGGTGTCAGCCTAAACTCCACACTCTTCTTTCACCTCCATTGTCTAATGGTCACCAAAGTCTGTCCCCTCCTACCCTAGCATATCTCACCCTTCCATTCTCTTGCTTCCATCCCATTGTCACTGCCCTATTTCAGGCTCTCATCACTTCTTATCTGGACTGGGGCAACTGCTTTTTTTTTTTCCATTAAAAAATTTTATTTATAATTGATAATAAGTATACATGTATGTGGGGTACAGCATAATGTTTCAATACATATATATATATATATATAATGTAATGATCAAATCAGAATAGTTGCCCATCACCTCAAACCTTTATCATTTTTGTGATAACTTTCAAGGTCTTCTTTCCTAGCTATCTTGAAATGTGCAATGCATTGTTAATTAGCTATAGTCACTCTACTATATAGCAGAACTCCGCAAATTAGTTTTCCTATCTAACTGTAACTTCGTACCCATTAACTCTGCCCTCCCACTCCCATCCCCTTCGGAACCTTTGGTCACCATTGTTCTACCCTCTGCTTCTATGAGATCAGCTTTTATAGATTCCACATGTGAGTGAGATCATTTGTCTTTCTGTGCTTGGCTTATTTCACTTAACATGATGTCCTCCAGGTTCATCCACGCTGTTGAAAATGACAGGATTTTGTCCTTTTTTATGACTGAATAGTATTGCATCTATCTATCTATCTATCTATCTATCTATCTATCTATCTATCTATCGATATATATCTCACATTTTCTTTATCCCTTCATGCACTGATACTTAGCTTGATTTCATCTCTTGGCTATTGTGCTAAGCCCTTACTATAGTGCTGCAGTGAACATGGGAGTACCGATATCTCTTTTGACTTATTGATTTCAATTCCTTTGGATATATATCCAGTAGTGGAATTGCTGAATCATATGGCAGTCCTATTTTTCACTTTTTAAGGAACTTCCATATTGTTTTCCACAGTGGCTATGTTAATTTACAGTCCCACCAATAGCATATGAGTTCTCCTTTCTTCACATCCTCAACAGTAATTGTTATTTTTTCTTTTTTTTTTTTTTTTTTTTTTTTTAACTGGGGTGCAGTGATATCTCATTGTGGTTTTCCTTTGCATTTCCCTGATGATTACTGATGTTGAGTATTTTTTCATATATATATATATACCCATTTTTGATTGGATTATATGGGTTTTTTTTTTCTTGCTATTGAGTTGTTTGAGTTTCTTACATATTCTGGTTCTTTCTTTTTTTTTTTTTTTTGAGATGGAGTCTCGCTCTTGTCACCCAGGCTGGAGTGCGGTGGTGCGATCTCAGCTCACTGCAACCTCCGTCTCCTGGGTTCAAGCAATTCTTCTACCTCAGCCTCCCGAATAGCTGGGATTACAGGTGCCTGCCACCACACCCAGCTAATTTTTGCATTTTTAGTAGAGAGGGGGTTTCACCACGTTGGCCAGGCTAGTCTCGAACTCCTGATCTCGTGATCTGCCTGCCTCAGCCTCCCAAAGTGCTGGGAATGAATTTCTTACATATTCTGAATATTAACCCATTAAACCAGTGCATAGTTTGCAGACATTTTTTTTCCAGTTCTGTAGGTTGCCTCTTTGTTGATGGTTTCCTTTCCTGTGCAGAAGCTTTACAGTTTAATGTAATCCCATTTGTCTATTTTTGCTTTTGTTGCCTGTGCTTTAGAGGTTCTATCCAAAAAATTCTTGCCCAGATCAATGTCATGAAGCATTTCCCCTATGTTTTACTCTAGTAGTTTTATAGTTTTAGGTCTTCCATTTACATCTTCAATCCATTTTGAGTTGATTTTTGTATATGGTGAGAAATAGGGGTCTAGTTTCATTCTTCTGCATGTAGATGTCCAGCTTCCCCGGCACCATTTATTGAAGAAACAGTCATTTTGGGGTAACTGCTTTCTAACAGGTCTCTGGGGCTTGGTATTACTGCACCAGAACCCTTTCATATAGCTGTCAGAGATGGCAGTAAAACAGCTCAGTTTATATCTCTCTGCTGTTTAAACTTATCTGACGATTCTTCATTGCCAGCAGAATGAAGTCCAAACACCTTGGCTTGTCATATCAAGTCCTTCCCCATCTGGTGCCCATCATCCCAGCTACCTCCTCTGACACTCTCTACCATGCATCCTATGATTGCCCCCCGATTTTACATTCTCTTCATCTTCCTGATTAAAATAACAGTTGTTGAGTACATGTCCTACTCTCTTTTGCCGTTAGATGTGGCCAGGTGACAAAGTTCTGGACAGTGGAATGTAAACAGAAGTATCATGTGAGAGTTTCCAAGAACTTTTTCAGGAGGGAGCAGACCCATGTCCTTGCCCTCCCTTTTTGTTTGCTCCCTTATCCATCCTATAGCCTGGAATACAGACATGATGGCTACCATCGTGGACTATGAACATGAGGATCACACCCAAGGGAAGGAGAAGCAGCAAGCTGGAAGGTGCTATGGAGCAGAACTGCCACAGCCTGACTACCTACCTCTGGAACTTTCTGTGAGAAATGAAATGGGCCCAACAGTCCCATAAACTGTTGTTTTTGGATAAACATAGAAATGGCCCCTTCTGCTGTTAAAGCTTGAAATTTGCATTTGTTTTATCTGAGTTCCCTCCTCAGGAAAGGACCTTCAGTCCTCTCAAAAAAGTATCAGAGAACTGACACTCACCAGATGCCTCCTTGTCCCTCCCTAGTTCCTGTTTTCTTAAACATTGTTACATATCTTCCCTGCTATGTAAGCCTCTAGGTTTAGTCAGTCAGGGAGATGGATTTGAGACTGAGCTCTCATACCTTGGCTGCAGCATGTGATTAAAGCCTTCTTCCTTGGCAATACTTATTGTCTCAGTGATTTGCTTTCTGTGCAGCAGGACCTAGACTGAACCCCTGGTGTTTCCATAAAAGAAAAAGACCTCTAACTTGGTCAGGCCACTGTTATTCTGAGTATCTGTCCCTTGCTGCTGTGCCTAATCCTAATTGACAAAGAATTTGGTACCAGATCTGGAATGCTACAGGTCACTCCATGCTTACCTTTTTCTTTCTTTATGTTCATAAGGATTCAAGAAGCTAGCCAACCCCACAATCTTTGAATTCTTCACTCTTGCCATGAAGATTTATTACCATAGCCACTTGACCTTCCAACATTTTGATTTCCA